CATGTTGAATTGACTTTTTTTTATTTATCTCTAGGAATTCCCTTTTCTCACAATTTCCCAAACTCCCGCGGGTCTCATACATCATTTCGGGAGTATCGTGGCTGCGAAATCGGTGAAATTAATGGACAAAAATACACCCGGTCAGTTTCTTTTTTTTCTTCACATGCAGAGACGGAGAGGGGGATCACCTAACCTCTATTTCCTGCCGAGATGACCAACTGTCTAAATTTAGTGTTGTAGTGACCAATGCATGTGATTTTTCTGTTATCGATTTCTTTTCTGCTTCACCTCAACAAATCGCAATCCCTGTGTGTGTCTTTCTTGTTTCCAGCTGGTATCCAATTTCGTGATGCGTGGTGGCTGGAACTGCGTACAGAAGTTACACAGCATATGTTTAGTGTGGGCTGCAATGCGGTGATTGGCTATCGAGAGGAGTGTGCAATTTACGAGGATGTGTGCATCCTATCGAACTACGGCACAGCTGTGGTCCTTGAACCACGTTGCATTGGTCCAGCATCGTTGCTTCAGTCTGCGATCGGAAAAACATCAGATGTGACCAACAGCACTGTACCAGGTAGCTTTCTATTCTCTTCAAGGTCTATTTTTCTGAATCGACGGGGTAATTTCATTGTTTCATTTCGTCTGTTCGCCGAGTTTGGTAATTTGTTTGCAAACGTTTCATCACCAGCCAAGGTGACATCATCACAAACACCGATGACGTCATCTCGGCTGGTGATGAAACGTTTGCAAACGAATTGCCAAGCTCGGCGAACAGACGAAATGGAATTCAGCCCACCCAAGCTACGAGAACCGATTTTCAATAATTTGTCAATTTCATTGCTTTTCATTTCGTTTTTTTTTTTACTAAGAACGAGTATTTTAAGTCTTGTACTCTTGGCAACACTATACAACACAAAAAAGATCTGCAGTCAGAAAGTAGAAGTACCAATCACCATTGTACACCTGTCAACCTCATTGGCCGGTCCTGGTTGTCATCTTAAGGCTGAGCGTTTGATAGAACAAAAACGAAGGAGCGAATGCTAGTGGTAAAATCTAATCACAGTACCTCGGTAAGGGTACAGAGTGTTTGTAAGGGAATCACACACCCATATCCTCCTCCAAACCCCTTTGCCATCTGATTAAATCATTTCCCACGCTTTGCACAACTTGTAATCAATCCCTCAACCTTACGCGAAACTACCTGATCACTGGTTTGTAATGTTTGTGTGATACTCCTGTGGTTACCTGTTGTCCAGCTGTGTGTTGATGATACCCTGCTCTGCGCACTCGCAGTTCACCGGGCATTCTGGTGGCGGTGGACAAGGTATCGGTTCTTGTCGGTCTACATCGCCACCCCAACGCTACTAGGTCCTACTGGAGAATGCCTCGCCTTTATGGATATCTGCTCGTGAAACCTTGGTTTGATGTGCCAATTTAACCATCGTGCCCCACCTAACTCTTAGCCTTTTTATCTGGACCGGGTTGCACACCAGGAATTTTAACTTCCGATCTGCATTTCATTCCTTAATGTTTCCGTTTTATCTTAATTGAAATTAATCATGTTTGTGTTAAACTTTGCGGAACTCTTTTTCTTTACCCATGCTCACTAGACTATTATCGGGCACCCGCTACTTTCGTTCATTTTCCTGGTGTCTTGNCATCTTTCAAAATTCTACTGTGTTCGGATGGCGGATACTTTGATCCATGTGTCCGTGTCAAACAAACTGAACACATGCACACACAAATACGGTGTGCACACATCTACCCCAATTTTTGTTTAATGAATAACATTCTGTGGGCTAACATCACTGTCGTGCTGGATTAGAATGAACCAGAACAGGTCAACATCACGTTTCTTACTTTCTATTTCGTCACCATCCGATTGAACCGCTCGATTGTTTATGTCGGTCTCATTGGGGCTACCACACCCACACCCGATTCTAAACAATTGTATCCAGGCCGATTCGGATGCATTCAGTCCAANNNNTGTTGTCTCGTGATTGAATTTTACTGATCCAGGCTAGCTAATTAGTGATCTTAGTGCTGGCAGCACGGGGCGCACGTATGCGCTTCCCCACGAAGCCAACAATAAAGATCAGTTATATCTGTTAGCATTTCTTCCGACTGTTCTGTCATGTTTCTGTTTTTCTCATCCGCCCTCGTTTGTACAGCCCGTGAACCATCACCGGATCTGTTACACACAGGGGAAACGCCTGCAGTGGTGGCGAAAACAGCTAGCACTCCACCATTGACTATTGGCAACAATGAAACAAAGCCGGCCCATTCGAATTTGCATTGCCCATCTGGTCAATCGTCTGCAGATCCTCGATCCACCTTGCAAGCTTCGTGGATCACAAAGAAACTGGGAGCCGCTGCTCATTTTCATCCCAAGTAAGTTCGTGGGTTTTGGGGGCGCTTGCGTTCTGTACTGTGCTTTTGAAACCGACGTCAATCCCCATCGTCTGTATCTCCGGTGACAGCCGATTATCGTTTGGACGTCAACCACTATTATTAGAATTAATCAGCATTGACCCAGTGGTTCGGAGTTGTCTGGAAAGCAAAGCATGTCAAACTCGAGGGTCTATGACACTGCACGCACACACGCTCTGTACTGACTAAATGATTCGACCTGAACTTGCATTCTATCTCAGAATCGTTTAACTTCAGTTTGCCTGTGCGTTCTAGGACCGTAAATATGCGTCGGTGAAACCTACATAGAGTCGCGTTCAATTGGGTATGAGATCGATAACAATTGTAATCGGTGATAGCGTGTTTTAAGGTACTTATCAGGTTGTCTTAGGGTTAAAAGTCGCGTACAAAAAGCCGCACTGTGATCGAACTGCCACTGTTCATAATTTGCAGTGCTTCCTTAATGACCTCCAGACGATCTTATGGGGACTGCTAACGTTGCACTAATCAGTGTTTTCTGCACCAGGACGATCTGACCGCGCGTAAGTTTAAGGTCTCGAAGCCGTACGGCAAAAATAATCACGGTTTGGCGCAGTATATGCGATCATTCAGTTTCAAGGAAACAACGCCGGTGCCAAAAGTGTGAACACTGCTCGTACCTTAGAAATGTAGTTGCCTACTTCCTTTACTACACTACTGTCACGCACCTACCTGAGTAGAAGAATCAATCCACTTTGATTCTTGAACATTGAGTATCTCAGGTGGAATAGACGACACTGTCGCGCAGTATCACTGTATAAAGCGCACACCAAATAGAGTTTCAGTACTTTGAAGTTTGTCAAGAGCGCTTTGTGCATACTCTATGCATTGGAACAAACAAACGATGTCCTAGCCGTACTCAAAATCGCACTTTGGATACCAACGTTTTAGATTCGCTAAGTGTGTTTTCCAATGTCTGACACACTTTAACAGGAATGTCAACATAAGGCATTCTGGAGAAATTCCGGGGCTGGTTTCGAACAATTTGCTCAGCGCTCCGTGGACCCTTGCACTACCATAAGCATACAAGTGTAACAATCTCAGTGGGTTTGCATTTTTCTGCGGGTATTCCACTGCGGATAAATGAATCCATTACGGTTTCGCGGTCAACTGTATCGGAGGCTCCCTTCAAGTTAAAGGACTCCGCAATTGTTGGACGACCATGTATGTGGCGTATGAAGAGGACTTGATGCGACCTGTAAATAATCGGTCGATACAACCGGCACTTGGTCGGAATCCTGCTTGCTGTTCGTAA